TCATGTTGCCAGAATTTATTGATTAATTTCAATGTGATTAATTGACATCGACTATATTACTTATTTATTTGGAAAGTCCAACCATTTTATCCATTAGGTTCCAATAGTTTTATATATTTAATAGATAAGATCAATAGCTAAGTATCAAAACACAGTAGGCGTCCACGTAAATAGACAAAAAAAGACCACTTTATTTTCGCTTTAATTTATGTTCTACGTTCGAGTGCATGAAAAGAAAAGAAAATTTAATTATTGATAATGAAGCTAGCTAGTATAAAATTTTTTGTAAACCATAACTTTTCAAACCTTACAGTTTTTTAGGCTTACTTGGTGGTTAAATTAAATAAACTTCTGGATATATCTCATCGCCATAACTTATAACTATTTGTTTAACAAAATTAGACTCAACTGCACTATTGGATTATTTACATGTAATGCTCATGACGGTGGCACTGTTACCAATTATGATGTTGAGTAGACTATACCGTCATCGTATTAAGTTAGGCATGAGTTTAAAAGTAATTTTAGCTATTCAAATTCTTGTTATATTATAAAAAAATAAAGTGATAAATAGTGAATAAATAAATTGTCAATACTTCTTCAAAGGTTGCACGTGTACGTACATTTCTATTTTCTTTTAAACTAATTAGTAGTAAAATTGTTTTAATAATATTATTTAGATTTTAATGGAACAAAGTAATTAATAAAATAAAATTGTTTTAAGCTATAAAGTAAAGTAAACAATTTTTCATAGTACAAAAATAATTGGAATTCGTTTTCTAAGAAATATCAAATTAATTAACGATGTTTTATTAGGGTAAACTACATTTTTCACTCGCTTAAAGAGTCTAACCATTAATCTCCTTTAAAATCAAACGGTTCGATAAATTCAATTAAAGTTGTACATAGCTCAGCGAACAAATAGATATTTAAGTCCATTTCATGTTTGACGGTTATTAGTACCACATTTCTAATCGTTAGATTATACAGAGTAAGTAATTTTATCATGATAAAGTAGAATTCCATCAAATAAATAGGAAATCCATCTTCATTTCACAGTTGTGTTTCTTTTTCAAGTCAGTGGCCATGTAAATAAGACAAAGCTGTTTATTTATAATGGGCCTTGTGAAAAAACTTCCATCTACGATATTACCGATATTACCTATCAATGTAATCATATCTGCAGCAAAAATAATTTTTATCTATAATCAAATCACAACCACATTTCCCTTACTAAATAGCTCTTCTAAGCTTAAAAAGTGTTTGCATACGTTCACATGGTGGTTTAACCATATCAACATCTGGGTATATCTCATAGTAGTAACTACTACTATAGTTACAGTCAAGTTAGATTCAACTAGATTATTTAACTCTTCGTTTGAAATTCTATTGGCTATCGAAATTTTGAACACTATGATACTGAGTAGGCTATACTGTCATAATATTAAGGTGAGTACAGATTAAATGTTAAGCTGTAACGTAAGATTTTTTTGCTGTAAATCTGAGTAATATACTGATATTTACTGGTTGAAAGACAATATTTGGACATTACAAATAATTAGTTATGCACGTACATTTTGATACTGCATATTGTAGCTAATCAAATTTATTAAATACTCTACTTTAGACTTTAACAAAGATATTTCAAGATTTTATCTGGTCTGGGAGCAACGAAAACTTGCAACTTGTTTACAAACATGGACGAGCATTTACTTTGGCAATAATAATAGGATTTTTCTTTTGTGGAGTAACTCAGCTGCTTTATATATACCAATCAATATCACAAGAACAAATGCACTTTCTGATGTCAGCATACTATCCAATTTCCATCACATCCTCGAAAATGTGGACTTTGATATACATTCATCAATTAATGTTTATTATGTACGCACCTATGATGTATTGCGCCGATTTTGTTGTCCATGCAACTATTTTTGTTGCTGTAATAAAACTTTGTAGTCTCAACGTCAAACTGAAAAAATTAAATGTTATCAACAATTAGTAGAATGTGTTCGTGAGCATCAAAATATAATTTGGTGAGTTGCTATGTCAGTGTACTACATATTATTATTTGTAGTTTCAAGGCATTTTATTTCTAGACTTTAGTGTATGCTCATAAGTACATTTTCAGGTTGATTGATAAAACTGTTAATACCACTAAATATTACGTACTGAAATCAATTATATTAGCAACTTTATTTCTCACCTGCACGGGTTATGTCTCACTTACTGTAAGAACATCTTAAGAACTATCTTCTAAAAAAAATACCTTCAAATATTTTATCAACAACTTTTTTAATAAGTATAGAGTGAAGTTGAAAATTCGGCCAAAGTACGACTTATGCTTATTGGAGGCATAAGCCTCATGAGAACGTTTATGTATTCACAAATAGCAGAAACTTTAATGTCTAAGGTAATTTGATTCAATCAAACCATTCGTTTACTTACCAAAAAAATTTTTTTTTCTTGTTCTAGGGACAAGATTTAAGTTTAACAATATACTCGACATATTGGTACAAGGAAAAACGTAAAATAGTACTTGTAAAATCGCTAATGATATGCAGATCCCAAAAATTACTCAAGATATCAATAAGTGGACTAGTACCATGTTTGGGAATGGAATTTTTAAGGCAGATAATTAAAACAAAGATGTGGACTTAAATTCAAACAACTCGGACCTACTTTCGATATTCATGCGATTTCAAGTTGAATTTTTTAAAATAAAAATTCATTTTCCAGTTTTTGTGTCTCACTTATTCATACACTATGACTTTAAGAGCTGTTTCTCGTAAGTCTGAATAATTAGAAAAGCACTGCACCACGTGATGGAAAAACAAAAATCTAAGTATTATTTTTAACTGTTGAATGCTGACACCTCTAAAAACAAAAACAAAAAAAAAAAAAACGAAAAAACAAGCTCTTAGTTGATGTGAGATTTATTTTATAAATAAATATTTACTCAACAAATGTACACACAGAAAAAAGAGAGATAGAACAACAGAGATGAGTAAGTCCTTAGTAAAGTACATGCGGAGGAAGCAAATCATCTAACAAATGTATCAGGCATATAAAAGCAAGTGGGACAAGAACGAAAAAAACTGCTGTTACTATTTTTACTTGCTGAGATTTCAACTTTGTTAACTATCTGTTCATTATATAATTTAACAATTTAAGTGAGTTGACCATGCACATTAAAATACCAGGTATAAGATTAGTATAAGACTAGTAAAAGTAGTATTCACTAACACGATTAAAGTACACTTTATAAAAAAATTTTATTGTAATGTCAATGCTCAATATTATTAAAGGTATGCAAGATATTTATTGTTATTTAATTATTAAAGCATTTATTTTGTAAGTAAATTAAGAGCAATTTTGTTTCGCAAACAAAAACTCTCCTCAGTTTGCTATGCTTGTAGCCTAAATGATTTATTCTCTGATCAAAAAGTATCATGATACATGTCGTCAATAATGGGTCAATGATGTAAAAAAATATATATTTTTATGAATTATGGTTATGAATAAACTAAGCATTTATGTATCGACCCGTTATGGATGTTTGACGTTTTGAATTTCAAGAAACAAGAAAAAAATTACTATAGCTTTACGGTAAAAAGTATAGCTGGTTGAGATGAATACTTCTGTTGAAAAAAAAAAAAAACTTCAGTAAAAAAAGTACAACTTCAGTAAAAATTGTAGTTAAGATTTGTTGGACACCATTTTACCGTTGCTTTTAAAAATGCATGTAATTTTTTCCTCCATGTACTATGACGAAAAATTGTTTTTGCCTCGGTGTTTTATTTCAATGTGATAGTTGCTCTTAAACCCCCTGCAGAAATGCAACCAGCAGTACATGACTACAAGCTTGGTGGATCGAGTCTGGAGATTTTTTGATTCTCAATATGATTTTAATAATTCTACAATCATCGATCAACAATACTCTAATCATTTGTATACAACTATACTCCTAATTGCAACTGTTTTGATCTCTACTCCATCCATGAATTTATCTTTAATAATAATACTTCCACATAAAATTTTCCATGTTCTTGAAAAACAAAATAAAATAATCCTTACTGCATATTATGGTGTTTATCGATCCTAATTTTTCACATTGGACTTAATTTTAATACAACGTAAGTGTTGCCATTTTTATTTTTTAAGTGAAACATTTCAAAAGTTCCATGTATTTTGTTTTATATGATTCTACGTCAGTTAGAAAAACATCCAAAAAGTTGGCTTCACTTAAAGTTTATGGATTTCTTATATTGCATAATTGTCAATTCAAGAAAACTTTTTCACCAATGATAAATAAATTCCTCAAACTTATTTGTAAAAAATTTTTAATAAAATTACTACCTCTTAATTTTTACAAACAAAAAAAGCTACAACAGTTTTATAATACAAAAAAATGTGATACACATTGTCATAA